GGAGGGAGATGACGTGGCCAGAGGAAAACCAGGTCATGAGGGACCTTGTACATGCTGCTAGGTGGTTTTATCCAGTAGGCGTTGGAAATATAAGCAAACCTATGTTTGAAAGCATGCTGGTGGCGGAGTGGAATACTTCAGCATTCTCCGAGGATGGAGGGAAAGGACTCAGAGAATAGGAAAATGCTTAGTAGATGCAGGTAACATTTGTTTTTTGTTCCTACTACTTCCAATAATTATAATTTTTGCTGACACGTAGTTAGGTACCTATCATCTAAAATGTAGGAGATACGAAAGAAGTTGGTCTGCTTGAAATATTGCTTAGCCGACTGTAATATGGAGGAGTGGGGGTAGCAGCAGAGCGAAACAGAAAATGTGGCCAGGAAAGAGATTGTCCAGGGCCATGAATGTCATGCTAAAGGGCTATTCTATAAAGTAAGGGGAGAGGAGGAGGACAAACACAGGTCTTTAATATATGGAGTTATAGTTTATGAAGATTTTTTTCTAAGCATATCTTATGTAAATTTCAAAGGAACTCTGAAAAGTAGGCATTAATTATCCCATTTTACATATTGAGGCAGTGAGCTTGGGGAACATGCATTCATTCTGCATGATTGAGCACCTGCTGTGTGCCAAGCACTCTGCTGAGCCACGGAATACAAGGAAATTATAGTCTAATATCTCCTAGAGGAGGCAGGAATAAATCAGCAATTATAATAGGTTGCCATGAAAAAGGCAAGGATAAAGTGATATGGGAGCAAAAAAGGGATTTGTCTGAATCTACAAAGTTAGGGAAGGCTTCCTGGAGTAGGTGAACTTGAGCTGAGTTTGCAGGAACAAATAGGTTACATCATGGCCCACAGTTATTCAAGTAGCATTCAGCTAGCAAGTGATTTAGCCGGAACTTGAACGCAAATGTGCTGTGTCCAGTTCTGTGCCCTTTCCCCTACCCTAAGGATTAATCTTTGGTCCTTGATGTTGAGCTCCGTTGATATTCTCCATCACAAGTCTACCTGTTGTATTTTGAGAAGGGCATTTTAAACCCATTCATTTTCTCCTTTTAGACTGAATATCTGGATAAATTTAAAAGGGAGTGGATCAGGCTCTGCGTAAGTGTAGTGCTACCTACCGAGTGGAATTAACTCTGTTAAAGTGCCATTCTGTAAGAGGTCCTTTTTATCTGCTTTCCTCCATTTGGGGGCACCATAATTTAGTTGCAGTACTGTAGTATTCGCCAAACACAGACATCGTTTTACAATAATAACTTGGTGTGTTCCTCCCCACCCCCGAAACCCAGTGTTTTATAGAAGTCAGCAACGTTTTCTTCTCTTGATTTCTAGGGCATAGCTGCTCCTTCTCATCTCTTTGGCTGGTTTCTTCTCGTTTCTCTGACCCTCTCAACTTTGGAGTGGCCTGTTCTCTGTATTTATTCTTTAGGCGGCTTTATCCAGTCTCACAGCTTTTGACACCCTTCTCTTTCAACAACTCTCAAATGTTTCATTATCAGTTCTAACCTCTCCTGACCAGCCCCTCTACTGGTATTTCTCATAGACATCTCAAATTTAATATGTCCCGAACCAAATTCTCGACTTTCCAAACCTGCTCCCCCATCTCAGTAAGTGACACATCCTTGCTTCTGGTTTCTCAGGCCATGACCTTGGAGTCATCATTGACTCGTCTCTTGGTCACACCATGCATCATATTCATGAGCTCATCTTTCATACTAAATCTGGGTAATATGTGGTCCATAGTTAATAAATGGTATATCAGTGACACATTCTAATACACAATAAAATAACAATATCTGTGTTTCCAGACTTTATGGACACCCTGTATATTCAGAATTCAGTTACTTCCACAACCTTCACTTCCCACAAGCTGTCTTAGGTTGCCATCATCTCTTGCCAGGAATAGTATAGTAGCCTCCTGACTGGTCTCCCTGCTTCTGTTCTTGCTCTCTTATAATCTAATCTCAACACAACAACTGGAGCGATCCTTTTAAAACTTAAAACCCAAGTCAGATCATATATGCTATTATCCAGTTCATAATCTTCCATTGACTCCCATCTCACTCAGAGTAAAACCCAGAGGCCTTGCCATGGCTAGCAAGGCCCTAATGTTCTGGCCCCTGTGTCTCTCTAACCTCCATCCCGACAGGCTTGCTCCACCTTAAGCCTTTGCATCTGCTGGTCCCTGTACCTGCACAAGCTGTTTGCCCAGAGAGCCATTAGGCTGGCTCCATGGCTTCTTTTGGACTTTGCTCAAATGTCCTTTGATCTCCCAGTAAAATCACAACCCCCCACCTCAGCCACACTCCCTATGACTCTTGCCCCGTTTTATGTTTCTCTGTGGTAATACAACCATCTGACACGCGTCCTGTTTCTCCTTGTGCCAGAAGTAAGATTCAGGATGGTAGGAGCTAAGTTTTGTTCACTGATACATTCCCGGCACTTAGAACAGGCCTGACACAAAGTAGGTGTTCAAACATTATTTACTGAATGAATGAGAAGAGAGTGACTGGATCTCCACTGTTGAATAAGAAGTACGTATTACCATAGAGTTAGATTAAACATGGTTATGCACAAGAAGTTCTAATGTTAACAACGATTCCCTCAAAAAGAATTGCTAAAAATTTTTAAACAAGTGTAGTTTTAAAAGAAAAATTCTCCATTGTAGATAAGTTGAGATTTCACATATTCCTAAACCCTCCCAATTTGGCTTATATTCTTCTGAGTGTCCACGATGGTGAGGGCTGAAATGCTGGCAATCTCACATTACAGTCTTTATTCTAAGGCTCTGCCTTTGCACTTGTTCAGTGACAGAGCTGTTATGAAGTAAACCAATAAGTGGCCTTGCTACCCTACCAATATGCTCTCTCACATCTGCTGATTGTTACTTACTACTGAAATAACTTCTCTTTAGAGATTTTTCTGTTCTGCACTCTGCCCATACTTGTTAGGGGAGGGGTTATGTTCTGCTCCCTGGAATGCAGCATCCTGTGGAAAAGTAACTTCCTCATTAAGGTGCAAGCTAAAAACACCATGGTACTTCCTATAGAGCACTACTCAACTTTTCCTTTCTTCCCACTCCCCAGCCATGGAAGTTTAGGGATTCAGTTTTTAACCAGTAACTTGGGATAAGGACTGTGGCCAGAGGATTCAGTGTTTGAAAACCAGCAGTGGAGCTGCTGAGGACACTGAGGCCAACCTTGAGATGTCATTGTTTTAAAATCAGCAACATGTTGTTATCTTGAAATTTCTATCTTTATAAAGTGTGGAAAAAATGGGGACCCTGTTCAGACACAACTTGAATTTAAGGAAATTCAACACGCTGGCATTATTTAAAAGTCCTTCTTTAAAGAGTTGGGAGTAGCAAATTACTTCTTTTACCTCATTAACAAATACAGGTGTCCCCAGAAAATGTATACACATGTTAACAGTTCAATTTTGAAATTGAAATGTATGTTATTAAACACTGTCTTTATAATTATTCAGTGTGTGTATATATTTTTGGGACACCCAATATTTACTGAACATCTGCCTACTATGGCCAAGGTACTCTGCTGATTCTACACCAGATTCTTCTTTTCTATTTCAATTTTTAAAAAAGAAAATCATTCCCAAATAAAAGTTCTAAGGGGTAAATCTTGAGCAAGGTTTAGGCATAAAGGGGCAAAGAGATAGAAAAGGATACCATGTCACAGTATAGAATAAGTTTCCATTTTAGAACCCCAAATTGAGTCTTATGTAATACCTTTCTTCTTAGTCTTCAAGGGATTGATGTTAGGAATATCCTGTGAGCCAACAGTTTCCTCTTTGTCGTGGGTCCAGTTCCCCAACTCTGAATGAAATAGAAACGTGTCTAATTTTGTGCAAAAGATGCAGCATTGCAATCCATTTTCCAACAAGAGAAAAGAGAGAGAAAGAGGACTTCACAAGTTGTACTTGTTATGGGAGGGAGGAACTTAGAGAGGCGGGTGAGTTATAAATTTGAAGATAAGAACTAAGAAAGTTGAGGTGACTGTTGGGGTCCAGCCCATCAGGTCCAGGGGTTCCCATAGGTGTGGACAGAGTCGGCGAAGAAGGAATAACACAGAGGCAGCATTCAGGTGATCATCATATCCAGGTTCTCTTTTATTGTCTACATCTATATTTAAACGCCAGGGGAAAATTCCCACCTGGGGAAACAACTTTTCTTGAGAGGTGACTCTGGTTAAGACACATTGCGCCAAGAAGGGGAGCAAACATATCAAGAACAGTATGCCATATACGCCAGGTCCCTTGAAACATATGCTGTGCAGATGTTTCTTCCCTGCAGCAACTGTGTCAAGCAGCGAGGATGGACCGGCTTCCAGCAGGTGACAAAAATCTTAAGGCAGTAAAAAAAAAAATCTTAAAATTTCAGAAATCCTTTAGTCCAACCAACTCAAGAGAAAGTGACTCCCAGAAGTTGAAGCAGCCAGGCCCAGTTCATGCCCTGCCTGTGGTAAAACATGTCGGAACGCATCCTGGCTCAGCTTGTCTCTTTCTTGTTTGTTTGTTAAGGGTAACATTACGGGCTAAGTGCACTGAGAATGCATTTTCCCTGGGATTTTAATATTGTGAGAGAACCAGAGTGGTATTAAGTAAGTGCCCCTAAGAATTCTTAATGTTTCTGTGGATGTTTGGCTATACCAAGAGAAAGTGAGCGTTTTCCTTAAGACCAGCAGCAGCTTGCGAATAGATCCTCTCCAGGATTAGAAATTTTCTTATGTGAACATAATGGTTCAGGGGGAAATTTGTTAAAACTGAAACCACGCATAAAGAAGCATAGTGTTTCAGTGAACCTCCTGCATTTTAGCTCAACTCTGGCAGCAAGAAAACAAAACCACATAACCTACGGCTCACACCCAACTCTCTGAAGCCCATATCTGCTAGTTCCTGTGTGGTTTGCCTGCACACTGCAGGACTGACTGGGGGTAGTTTGGAGGAGGGAGTAAGAAGTAGGGAGGAGGAGGAACTTTAATGTTTCTGTGAGCGTGCACCCTCTTTTTAGTGTGGTAGTTGGAAGACAGCGCAAGGTGTATCTGTACTCTGAAATGCAGTAATTTGTATGTGAATGCATCTTCCTTCTTGCAGGAGAGGATTCTAACTCGGTGTCAAAGCCAAGATACAGACTCAACCGCTTCTCTTCTAAAAGGTATGTCATTATACAACGTCGGTCCACATTCTCTAGACATCTTGAACAGTTTTATAATTTGCAGAATGCCCTCTATGAGTCAGTCCTAATTAAAATGAACCCCATGGGCTCTCCAAATATTGCTTTTAATGCTTTGGTCCATCAGCTAAGGTCTCTAAATCTTTTGCTGTGGCAATGGTTGTGTGATAGGATTTGACTTCTATCTGGCAAGTGAACTAGAAGAAGGCCTGTTCCTTACCCAGCGCATTACAGAAAAATACCTCCACTGACTGGCTTCTGAGCCAGATCAGAGAGAGACTTTGGGCCCTGGGATTACCAAGGTGAAATTTCACTTCACCATAGTCAGCATTTAATTCAGGCTGGGGAGTGGAGGTGAGGGGCTGAGCAGCAATGAATGAACACTAGTACTCTGAGGTCGGGATTTCTCTTATTGCTCTCATTTCTACTTCTGTTTGTATTTATGTTGCCTTAACAAAGAACTCCAGTTTGGGTTTCTTTACAAAAAGAAAACATTGTGTTGAAATAGATTTTGAGAAGAGTGCTGTCTATCTTTGTCTCTTTATTAACTGTTAACGCTATATCCCTAAGACTATCTGTAGTTCGGGCACCAAGCCTTAAGACATCTACTCTATGCTCTTTGCCCCACCTGTTCCTGAATGTGAGGATTGAACACACCCGCCAAGGATTTTACTAACGTTAAAATATTGTATTGAAACACAATTTGGGGGGTGGGGGGGAATATTATATTTATATACCCCAAATTAGGCCTTGTTAATTAAGGCCATGCTCTTAATTTGCACATTACTGAAAATAAGCATCCCTAGATCAATTAAGAGAGGAAAAAATTAGGATCTAAAAATCCAATGGAAAGGATTACATGTTGCTTATGTTGTGTCATCTGAGAATGGGAAACCTCAGGCTGAAGACTCTTTTCTATACAACTACATTTATTATAGATTGTTTAGCTCCTTAGTGGTCCCCTCTCCCCTTTTTTTCTTATTTTTGGTTTCAGAAAGAACATTCACTGTAAGTATATTCTGCTTTAACAAGCTAGTGTAATTTTTTATAAAGCTTAATATTTATAAAATAATTTAAAGTGATTCTCTTTACAAAAGGATCCATTGTTAAATAAAGAAAACTATGTAAATAGTCAGCTAAGTGCATTTAAATTTCAAGTTTTAAAAATTCTGATTTGTACTCTCTTTGAGAATTATTTTGTGGTTTTTATTAAAGAGAGACAGCTCTATATCATTGAATAAAATTACCTTTTTAGATTGAACTGGGAGTGTCTCCCCTGTAGTAAACTGTAATCTTATTCTCCCTAAATTGTAACAGATTTTATCTTTTTAAAAAGACTTTACTGAAGCAGAGGGGAAGGAGGTGATCAATTTGTTCAATATGAAGAAATATCGCTATTGCTAATATAATATCCTTTAGAATTTTTTCCACATCTTAGACCCTGATGAAAATCCCTTTTATTTTTTTTAATCTCAGTAGTTCTATGTCTGCCTTATAGGGATATTATAAGAATAAATGAGTTAACATAGATATGAAGTGCCTTAGGAAAATGGCACTATGAAAATGCAAAATGATACCATTATTATTTTTTTAATCTTGATCATTTTCTTCCCACCTCTTTTTTTTTTTTATGAAGAGTGTTGATTCTAAATGTGGCCCTTAAAAGCAGACTTTAAATTGAGATTTTTGAGCTGAATCACCAACTGGCTGACTGGAATGAACATGTTATCACTGGTGGAAAACAGCGCTGACTCTAGTGATGCTATTTTACACTTCATAGATGTGTAAGAATCTTAGTAAAATGAATACAGTACATTTTCATTTGTGGGTTTAGGGAAAATACTAATTATATAGGACAAATTTATGCATTAGGGAAAAACAAGAAGGGCTAAGGGTAAATAATCAGTAATTATAGATGAAATGTGTAAACTAAAGGATTTCTCAGCAGTACATAAGATTGTCCAGAAGCAGCATGTTATCTAAATTACAGTTTTGGGTGTCCGGATCACTGAATTGACAGAAACACATTATCTAGAGCCCTCAGGTCTGGAATGAGGAACATGGTCAGACTTAAGTATGTTATCTAAATTACAGTTTTGGGTCTCTGGATTCTTCCCACCTCTTATACAAAGTATATCTCACTACCTAAAGCCAACTCTTTGAGAACCATTGCCTTCTGGACGAGCTGAAAATGACTCTAGTTTCCACATATTTATTGATTCTCAGAGAATCACATCCACTGGTGTTGGTGACTGTAGGGTTCATGCCGAAACTTGAGCAAAACTTGCCTCTTTTCCTGAATCAAGAAAAGGCTACAATTGTTCAAAAATGTGTCATTAAGTGTGAGTCCATCAGTATTTTCTAAACAAGTAATAGTAGTTGCTTCTGGATTAGTCCTAGGGACAGATTTTTCATTTTCGTGCCCTTGCAAAACAAACTCAAAACTTGGTCAAGAATCTTCATGTCCTAAGCTATTTGAATCAAAGGATAGGGTCAAATGGCCCCCATTTTGTCCATCTCAAGTATTTGCCCAGCATATCTTGATCCATAAAGAAACAACACAACCTCCTCTCCCTCTCCCTCTCCATCTATTACTCTCTCCCTCCCTCCCTCTCTCTCTCTCTCTTCCTCTCTCCCTGTCTCTCTCCACTTTGCAATCCTCAGAAAAGCGTACTTCATACATAAATGAACATTGACAAACGTTTATTGGGCATTTACTATGTGTTAGGTACTGAAATCTCTTCAACAACTATTATTAAGTTTTCAATAAGCTTGAGCCAATAGGAATTTAGTAACTTTTTTAAAAAAAAATTTCTTTTTAAATATTAATTCAGAGGCAAACGTTTTAGGGAAATAAAACATAAAACTATTACTAAGTACATGAAAATAAAAGTCCTACATGTTCTCCAAAGATGTAAGGCATATATCTTATGAAGGAAGTGAAGAAAATGTTCAAAGTTAAAGTTGAAATATTGGTACAATTAACACCTCTATAACACCTAGATTCAACAGTTGTGAATTTATTGCTATATTGGTTACATTTGTATGTGATTTCTTTCTGAACTACTTGTAAGTTATAGGCAAAATGACATTTCATCTCTAAATAATTCAGTACATCTAAGAATAAGGACATTTGCCTGTATTACTACAATGCCATCCATTATACCTAAGAAAATGATCAGTAATTCCTTAATATTATCTAATATCTAGGCCCTATCTAACTTTCACCATTCGTCCTTGAAATTTCTTCCATACCTAAATAAAAACAAAACAAAACTAGATCTAATTGTTAAAAAGGAAAGCACATTTTTGCCTTGGTGTTTTATGTCTTTTTATTTGACATTGAATTTTTTAAAAGGTTAGACCATTTATCTTGTGGAATGTTCCACATTCTGGATTTGTTGTTGCCTCCTGATATCATTTCATTTCTTCCTTTACCCCATGTATTTCCTGTAAGCTCAAAGTTAGACCTAAAGCATTTATTATATTGCGAGGGAGCGTTTGTTACAAGGTACTCTATATTGCATCTCACCAGGAGGCACCGAATGCCAGGTTGTCCCTCTATTTGTGATGCTCAGTTTGATCGTGGTTCAAGGTAGCGATGTCACTCCAGGGATCTCTGTCCCAAAGCTACTTTTTCTCCTTTGCAATTGAGAAGTAACCTGAGCAGGTGACACTTTGGCACATGGTAATATCCTGTGTCCCAACAAACTTCACCAATGACTTCAGGCAATAATCCTTGCCTAAATCGACTAATCCTGTAGGGGTCATGTACATCTTAGTACACTTTGAAGAAGGATTACACATACAAATTCATCATTATCAGCAGCAACAGCAGATATTTATTTTTTATAAGTATTTTTTACTTTTAAAAATTTTATTGTTTGATTTTAGAGAGAAAGAAAGGAAGGGAGAGATAGAAAGAGAAACAATGATTTGTTGTTCCACTTTGTGCATTCACTGGTTGGTTCTTGTATGTGCCTTGACCGGGGATCCGGCCTGCAACCTTGGCGTATCGGGACGATGCTCCACCCAACTGAGCTACCCGGCCAGGGCAACAGGAGATATGTTATTGAGTGTATATGTTCAGGTAACAACAACAACAAGTAACATTTACTGAATGCTTGCTGTGAAGCCAGACAGTCTGGGTTTGAGGCCAATCCTTCAGTTACTAATTGGGCCAACTGGGACGAGTTACTCAGTCTTTCTGTGTATAGCTTTAGTTTCTTAAGCTATAAAATGAGAGTAATAATTGCACCTATCTTATCGTATCATTTTGAAGATGAAATAATTTATACATATAAAGTTCCTAAAACAATGTCTCTTATTTGCCTGGTCTGGCACTTAGCAAGTATTAACTTATTTGCTTCTCATAATGGCACAATGAAATAAGTGCTAATATTATCCTTTCACAAGTGAGGAAACTGAGGTACAGAGAAGTGAGGTAACTTGCACAAGGTCACTTAACTAGTATGTGGTAGAGTCCAGATTTGAACCCAGATGGTCTGATTCCAGAGCATTCTGTATAAAGACTGGCATCTGTCAGGGAGAAGTGACACAAATGAAACTGAATGGAAATCAGTAATAGGACCCTTCACTCCCCAAGCTCCACCACCACCATCCAAGTTTTAAGTTAAGTTATTGAAAATCTGGGAGTATTGCTACCAAAATATGTTTTTGGTTTTGTTCATCTAAATTAGAGCAATAGATGAGTTTACTTATTGCATTTATGTAGCTTAAGGATCTGTATGAGGGACTTTAAACATAAAGGATAATACTAGGAACTGAAAAATGTAGAATGATGAAGGAATAGGAAGGAAAAAACTGAAAGGAATAATAGGAGAAGGGAGTTAGGAGACCTCAGAGCCTCAGGACACAAGATGATATTTTGACATATCATTTTCCACATTCCTGTGCTGTATAAGATGTTACTGCTAAAACACAAGAGTGTAGCCATTGTCAGATTTATAAAAGACCACACT